TATCTATCTTATATATGTAAAATATATAATTATACAGGCAAACAACAACACAATCACACTGCCTTAAAAAATAAAATGTGGGTCAGTATTATTTTTTTCTATAGGCAATTACCATTGTATTTTGACATATATCCCTGTAGATATCTGTATCAAAAACTTGTCCAAGAACTGAGTATTGAGGTCTGTTAGAAAAACACAAAACAGAAATATAAATTAATCCTATATATTGCTATGCTTACATCTACATCTACACAAAGAAAGATGGATTGTTATAAAATATCTTACATGGGTTTTTTGACCATTTAATACTAAAAGTAAACTAACGATCATTTTAAGGATGATCTTGCACTTCAGAGGTAATGATACTTTCTAATATTAGTTATTGTTTTACTATTTTATTGTTTGATAATCCAGTGTATATTAATTTATATTGAATTTGCATCAAATGCCATGACCTTTCTTTTATACAACTAGTGGATCAGTAGGTACATAGTATAGTTGGAATGAATGAATGAATGAATGCTGATGGGCAAGAGGAAGAACCTGATTGTAAATAAAATATGCACTGCTCAAAAATGTTTGGCATTGCTGGTAGGAAAAAATATATTAAAATGTAATTGTTTTCACACAAAGAAGTATGGCACAGGACTCCTAGGTAAAAATGCTGCTAGTTCTGGACACTCCATAAAATATAATTAATGGAACTGGGCTTCAATATGGATTAGCCAAACTCTTTAAAATTCAGTCATTGATGTTATACAGCAGCAACTGCTTCTTATGAGATGTAAAATATCCAGTCTCTGATTTCAATGAAAAGACAAATAATTTACTCTCTTACAGCGCGTATCCATTGAGCTTTACCGGTCAATCATTATTTGATAACTCACAGTTGAGTTCTGAAGGTGATCGTTAAAAGGCCAAAGATCACGGAGACTCCAAGTCCAATGTCCAGATTAAGGCAGATTGTAGAAAGGAAGGTCACGATCCAAATCAACTGAAATACCAGCCGGAGGCAACAGGATTTTAATTAATTTGTCAGTCACAAAAAAAATAATATAAAATCCTATTTTTGGCAACATATTTTATTGATACTTAGGACAAGGAAACGTTCTGTATAAACAGAGAATATCTAAAGATACCCTTGGCAAGTAGCACTGCAAATATTTATTGCTAGACATTTCCTTCAAACATCTTGCTTCTTTGGTTCCGTTTTGAAATTAGGTCTAAGTTTTCCTTGCCATCAAGATCTAGTGTAGTATTAACAAAAAAAAATAACCTTAATGTACATACAAATAAGAAAGAGGTTGCTTGATCTATCACGAGTTTTCATATAACATACTAGTAAAACGTATTGTAAAGCTTAAAATCTGTTTATTCCACAATAATACATCATTCTTATTTTATGTAAAATGTATGCTCCAATTGCAGGCCAAGGTTGTTGAAGGATAAGCAGAACTAGGTAGTTCTGGGACTAAGTTCTGAAAAAGGAGTAATCCCCATGGAAACCAAGATAAAGTTAATTTTATAAAGTAGTTTCTATCAAGAACCCTCAATTTGTATTGTCCTACATGGAGAACAATTCCCTATACTGAGTTGATTGCTTTATAGCACAGCCTACAGAGCATGTTGTAAGATGACTAAAGAGCCTAAACCATTGTATTCTACAAGGCTTTAACCTAGGTAGATGTATATAGTGGCACTCATAAGTCAGTGTGTACTTACCAGATCATATTTGTTGGTTCTCCATAGTGCGGGGATATCCATAAACTGCTTGTACATTTCTTTTAGATTAGCGATAACAATAGCCGAAAGAATAGCCTGTAAAAAGACAGGAAATATGCAAAAATAGCTATTAATAACAACGTATAGTTAGGCAAAAGACTCTTTAGCCATCCCGACCTCTAGTGAAATAAACTATGCAATGCTTCAATTTATAGGGAACGCTATATATATTAAGTAATTCATAACAAAACACTCCATAAAATTAAACGTAAACAAAAATGATATTACGCATAAGTTATACAACTTTTAAACATGCATTGTAAGAACAAAGTGACATTGGGATACAATATTACA